GGGGGTCCCGGGGGGGGACACCCTGCGGGCGGTTGAGCGTGGCCCTCCGCTACGCCTACGGCTCCCAACAGCTGGTGGTGAAGGTCCTGAGGGCCTTGGACCTCCCGGCCAAGGACGCCAACGGCTTCTCCGACCCCTACGTCAAGATCTACCTCCTCCCCGACCGCAAGAAGAAGTTCCAGACCAAGGTCCATCGCAAGACCCTCAACCCCGTCTTCGACGAGACCTTCAGCTTCGGGGTGCCCTTGGCCGAGCTCCCCCTGCGCCGCCTCCACTTCAGCGTCTACGACTTCGACCGCTTCTCCCGCCACGACCTCATCGGGCAGGTGGTGCTGGACAACCTGCTGGAGGCCACCGAGAGGGGGGACGAGGGACCCATCTGGAGGGACATCCTGGAGGGCAGCGGGGTGAGGAGACGGGGAATAGTGGGGATGGGGGCCCACCAGGGACCTCCTGGAGGTCAACAGGGGACGTGGGGAACATCTTGGGGGCCAGCAGGGATGAGGAACATATCTCAGGGACCTTCTGGATGGACATCCTTGGGCCAGCAGGGATGGTGGACCTATCTCAGGGACATCCTGGAGGACACGGGGGTGAGGAGACAGGGGGTGGTGGGGATGGAGTCCCACCAGGAACATCCTGGAAGTCAACAGGGGACGTGGAGAACATCTTGGGGGCCAGAAGGGATGGTGGACCCATCTCAGGGACCTTCTGGAGGGACAATCTGGGGACAGTAGGGATGAGGAACCCATCTCAGGGACATCAAGGAGGTCAACAGGGTGAAGGGACAAGGGGTGGTGGGGATGGAGTCCCACCAGGAACATCCTGGAAGTCAACAGGGGACGTGGAGAACATCTTGGGGGCCAGAAGGGATGGTGGACCCATCTCAGGGACCTTCTGGAGGGACAATCTGGGGACAGTAGGGATGAGGAACCCATCTCAGGGACATCAAGGAGGTCAACAGGGTGAAGGGACAAGGGGTGGTGGGGATGGAGTCCCATCAGGAACATCCTGGAGATCAACAGGGGACGTGGAGAACATCTTGGGGGACAGCAGGGATGAGGGACCCATCTCAGGAACATCCTGGAGGGCAGCAGGGTGAGGAGACGGGGGGGTTGGTGGGGATGGAGTCCCACCAGGGAGCTCCTGGATGGACGTTCTGGGGCAGAGGGGGGATGGTGGACCCATCTCAGGGACATCTTGGGGGCCAGCAGGGATGAGGGACCCATCTCAGGAACATCCTGGAGGGCAGCAGGGTGAGGAGACGGGGGGGTTGGTGGGGATGGAGTCCCACCAGGGAGCTCCTGGATGGACGTTCTGGGGCAGAGGGGGGATGGTGGACCCATCTCAGGGACATCTTGGGGGCCAGCAGGGATGAGGGACCCATCTCAGGAACATCCTGGAGGGCAGCAGGGTGAGGAGACGGGGGGGTTGGTGGGGATGGAGTCCCACCAGGGAGCTCCTGGATGGACGTTCTGGGGCAGAGGGGGGATGGTGGACCCATCTCAGGGACATCTTGGGGGCCAGCAGGGATGAGGGACCCATCTCAGGGACATCCTGGAGGTCAATAGGGGCCATGGGGAACATCTTGGGGGACAGCAGGGATGAGGGACCCATCTCAGGGACATCCTGGAGGCCGGGGGGGGATGGTGGACCCATCTCAGGGACATCTTGGGGGCCAGCAGGGATGAGGGAGGGACCCATCTCAGGGACATCCTGGAAGGCAACAGGGTGAAGGGACAGGGGATGGTGGGGATGGAGTCCCACCAGGAACATCCTGGAGGTCAACAGGGGACGTGGGGAACATCTTGGGGGACAGCAGAGATGAGGAACCCATCTCAGGGACATCAAGGAGGTCAAGAGGGGCCATGGGGAACATCCTGGAGGGACATCCTGGGGTCAGCAAGGATGGTGGACCCATCTCAGGGACATCTT